ATCTTGACACTATTTCTATTCATTTAAAATGAACAAAGGAGCAGCTCTCAGTAGTGAATCAACACCATTACAATATTCCTTAAGGGGATTATTTGCAAACAGAGATAAATCATTACTTTTCAAATAGGAAGTTTAATTGTACAGTGCAGTATTGTTAATTCTTAACATACTGAACTGTACAGCACTGTGCAAGGCTTCCTTTGAAAATGACTGGAAAGCTACAGCTGGTACAGAATGTAGCAGGCAAGCTGCTGGTAGGTATTTATGTGTCCCAATCAATTTACAAAGCACAAATAAAACAAAAAGAAAATAATCAAAAATAACACCCAATGAGGCCCCAAAGCATGCTGAAGGTATGCTGCTTTTACTGCCCTGCAAAATAAAAGGTAGGAGGGGATCAAATATACCTCTGGGGTAGCCATGTTCCAGGCCATGGGGCCTACTACAGAAAAAGCCTGGTATTTCACCTACATCCCACTATTCATTGCTGGAGGACAGGGGATGCTTAACAGGCTATCTCAACATGTTCATACCAGACTGACAGATTTAATTGTGACAAAGCAGTGCCTTATATATCTTGGTGCTGCACCATTTACAACTATACAGGCTATAACCAACACATTGATGTGTGCCTAGAAGCCTGCAGTGCAGCAACCTTAAAATAGGTATCATTCTGCAATGGAGGGGCTGTGTTGTCAGCATCCTGTCTGCCACAGTCTGGACTAGTTGCAGTTTCCAAGTCATCTCTAAAACAGCTCCACATAGAGTGTGCTGCAGTAGTCCAGGTCCAGCCACATAGTGATCAACTTGAGTTACTGTCACAAGGGCATCTTGGTCTATGTAGGCTCATAACTGGTCCAAAAGTTGAAGATGGGCACAGGCCCCACTGACCATGGCCTCTACCTACTGTATAAACAGGAGCCACAAGTCCACAAGGATTCCCAATTTATAAACCAAGTCCTTTGAGGAAGCATGACATCATCCAGAGAAATTACCAATGTGAATGTACTGCCCAGATGTATATTAATGACTAGGAACTCCATCATGGTGGGACTCAATTTGATCTTTTTTCATCCCATCCAACCTCTAGATGCTGGTTCAGGTTTCCATAGCATTTCTGGCTTGGCCTGAGATGGCAATGTATAGCTGAATGCCATTGGCATGTTAGTGATTCTTCACTTCAGCCCAAAGGTGACTTCTCCCAGCAGTTTTGCACAGATGTTACATAGTGAAGGAGAGAACCCTGAACAATGCTACAGTTGAGTAACTATAGATATGAGTACTGCCCTCCCAGAACTACTGACTGGAACTGCCTGCATAAGCAGGAACGGAACAACTATAGAACAGTGCCCCAAACTCCCAATCTTTCAGACAGTCCAGAAGAATACCATGTTCAATGATACTGAATACTTTCAAGAAGTCTAACAGGACCAAGGGGGCACATTCCAAGTTTCTACCCAGGATTAATAACTCTGCAGGGGTTGTAGGAACAATCTCATCCAGCATTCTGTTAATCTCTGAGTTCCAGAAATCAAACATGTACAGGACAGAACTGCCTACCAACTAGTCAGGGGAATCCCCAAATGCCCTCTGGAACTTCTGAATCCATTGAGTTTCTGAGGTGGAACATTCTGAAGAGGCTGTCACCCATGGAGAGGTCCAGAACATCCATGGCCCACAGTGTGACAAGGAAGTGATTTGACCAAGCCAAAGGACAGATGTCACAGTCTTCCATCTTCAGAAAATGTCTCATCTCCTCTGAAGTGACAACTATAGATGTAGCATGTGGCCATCTAGGTGTGTTGGGATCACAATTACTTGCAACAAGCCCACAGTTGCCATGGAGGCCACGTACTCATAAAAACTACTGCAGATCCATCCCCCAGGGCATGGAGATTGAAGTCCTGGAAACTGTAACACTAGGACTGAAACAACATCCAAGAATTCTCGGAGGCTACTGCTATACCAGCAGCAGCCTTAGCTTGTCTCTGTAGACCAATTCCATGCAAAGACACTCATATCCAATTACCTCTGGAGCAGTTCTCATCACTGCTAGAGTCTCATGCATGGCCATGGTAACCCATTCTCTTTGCCCTTACCATCTCTGCTGCAGAACCTGAAATCTGACTGATCATATATCCAGGGCTACATTCCTGTCACTGCTCAGCCATGTCTCAGTAATGCACACCAGGTATGCATACTCATCCATTACTGTACCATAGATTGATGTAGTCTTATTGCTCACAGACCTGGCTTTATTAGCAGAAGTCATAAGCCAAGGTGCCTGACAATTTGGCCACCAGTGCCCAGGCTTGGGTCAAGTGGCTTAGAAATAGGATCTATGTCAATATGCAGGCCCACCGTCTCCTGCAATGGCCTACCCTACCAATAAGTCCCCCCACTCTGCTTCCCCTGCCCATCCTGGTCCCAAATTAAGCCCTCATTGAATTATCCTCGGAGGCTAACAGTGGCTTCTCTCATGTATGGATCCTTACATGCCCCAGCCATCACACACCTCACCAGCATCTGCCACCATGTGCAAGACACTTCTGTGGCCCGTGCCTGGTCATATTCATTCAACCACTCATTCAACACCCCTAACTAAGCCAATTATTACCACAATTTGCATAATAGTTCCTCCACTGACAAATCCAACCTCCTCCCTTTCCTGGGACCTTCCAGGCCACAGTATTCATCTGCCTGCCAGATTCCCCCAATCTCCCAAAGATCTTTCACTCAATCCTCTTCAGCTCTCATCTAGAAAATGCACTCTAGTAAGTCCCACTCAGCCTGGGTAGATCTTTAGCTTGTCTGATCTTCCCTCGCAGACTCAAAATGACTTCTGGCCCACTTAGCATTGGGCATCACTGAGCAGTGTCATGGCACCATATTATGGTCTCTTGCTACACCAAGATTTTGTGGTTGGCAAATGCTTCCTCCTGTGCCTTCTTCAAAGTGGTTCCATTCATCCTGTCAGGTCATCTAGAAAAAGCATATTCAAAGCCCCACTCCCTCATGGATAAGAAGATAGACTTTCTCCATGGCAGCGCTGACCTTTGAAACACCTTATCCTGAGAGCTGACCCTGGCCTCCCATTGATGGTATTTTGCAAGGCTGTGAAAACTATTTTATTCAGGCAGACTTTCAAAGCTTTATGTTTATTGGACTGTCACCATTTCTTCTTGAATATGTTTCATATGTTGGAGGGATGTTATTTTATTCTGTTTGGGGAGGGGGAAATTGTGATGTATCATTGTATGGGTTGTTTTTATGTTTTTGCACACTGGTGATATGGGCAATGCAAAAATACTGTTAATAAACAAACAAACAAACAAATAAATAAATATCATTATATGCTTTGTTAATGGTCTATTACTTAAGAGAGTTCAATACTTTTCTCTCAGATCAGTTTCTCCAAACTTTACTCCAGGCACATTTAATATAACTACATGCAAACAGATACAAAGTGGACATCTTCATCTGCTTTCCCCTTTTTCTGTTGTTCCCAAGTTGATTCAGTTTTTTCAGATCTCTTTGCTGAAATTCTCTCTGTTCAAGCTTCTTCCTAAACATTTTAGTGCTAGAGTCTGCTGCCTATGTGAAGTTCCAGCATAACTTCACAGCATGGTTTTTTAACCTCAGCTGTGACATTTAGTTATGATGACTTTTTCCAGGAGACTGGAAGCTGTGGTGGTTGACAAGTTAAAATGCTTGAGTGCAATTTGTTTTATTGATGTATTTTAATTGTTTTATTTAACGTTTTAATGCTTTTTCCCCTTTGTATTATCATTAGCCACCTTAAGTGCTGTATTTGGCAGATATGTGCAATACCATACAGATTTAATAAATATTGTTCTTCTCTAGGCTCTGTTCAGCCACCTGATATATATTAATTATTAATTAACAGTCTCTAACGATTGATTTCTTGTTTTAAGAACCTGGCTAAAACATGATCCATTGTGTTCTCATAGGCACAACACTGAATTTGATCTCTTGAACAGTACACTTTTCTAAAGCCTCAGTTTGGAGTCACAAGTACAACACTTCTCACAGATGGCTATAGTCCATTATGGCAGGCTGTTACAAGAAAACAATTTAGTGATAAACAATGTAGCATGCATGGTATGGTCATACCGTAGTAATGACCACGAGCTTGATTCTTCTTTGGGGCTGCACAACTCCAGACAGCCACTAGATGGCAACAAAGCATGCAGAAACCACTACCTCTTTACTGCCATCTAGTAGTCATTCTGATTGTTGCAGCACAGATATAAGCAGCTCTAAATTCTTCTGAACTTTTGGATTTATCCATTAATGTTGATTTAGTTATACGATGTTGTATTTCATCAGTAAA